AAAAGTTAGTACAGGAACAGCTAGATGCTGGACACATAGAGGAATCTACCAGTCCTTGGAATTCTCCTGTATTTTTCATCAAAAACAAGTCAGGTAAGTGGAGAATGCTGACAGACCTGAGAGCTATAAATAAGGTAATTCAACCAATGGGCTCTCTGCAACCTGGAATGCCATTACCTTCCTTAATACCTAAAGGATGGCCTATCATAGTCATTGATCTAAAAGACTGTTTTTTCACAATACCTGAACCATAACACAAACAAGAACCAAAACCCTCACACTAACCCTGGATCTAAACATAAATATGAACCTAACCATAATCCTGAACCTAACACTAACACTGAATTTAACCTTGAAACCTAACCCTAACCCTAACTATAACCCTAAGCCTAACCCCGAACACCTAACCATATCCCTATCCCTAACCATAACCCTAACCCTAAGCCTTAACAAAACCCTGAACCTAGCCCTAACCCTAACCCTAACCCTTACTCTAACCCTAAACCTAACACTGAATCTAACCCTGAAACTAACACTAACCCTAACCCTGAACCTAAAACTAACCCTGAACCTAACACTGAACCTAAAACTAACCCTGAACCTAACACTGAACCTAACCCTAACCCTAACCCTAACCCTAACCCTAACCATAACCATAACCTAACACTAACATTAACCCTAATCCTAACACTAACCCTGAACCTAATCCTGAACATAAAGCTAACTCTAACCCTGAACCTAAACCTAAAATTACCCAAAACCCTAACCCTGAATCTAACCCTAACCGTGAACCTAACCCTGAACCTAACACTAAACCTGAACCTATCCCTAACCTTAACATAACCCTGAATCTAACCTTAAACCTAACTCTAGCCCTGAAGTTAGTCCTAACCCTAACCCAATCCCTAAGTCTAACCTTGAACCTAACCCTAAACCTAACCCTAACCCTGAACCTAACCCTAACCCTAACGCTGAACCTAACCCTAACCCTAACCCTAAACCTAACCCTGAATCTAACCCTGAAACTAACACTAACGCTAACCCTGAACCTAAAACTAACCCTGAACCTAAAACAGAACCTAACCCTAACCGTAAACCTAACCATAACTTAACACTAACATTAAACCTAATCCTAACACTAACCCTGAACCTAACCCTGAAACAAC